TGTGGTATCTCAGACTTGGGCTTGTTAGTGAAAAAAGATTAATTGAATTAGAAAAATAGAATCTACTTAAGGGTGAAAAACTGAATAACTTAGATTTTTGTGAAAATCGTGTGCTAGGAAAATCTCATAGGATTAAATTTGGGTCTGGCATGCATTTTTCAAGTAGAACTTTGAGTATGTGTATTCTGATTTATGGGGACCTTCAAGGGTTAAAACTCTAGGTGGAGGTTCTTATTTCCTTACCATAATTGATGACTTTACTAGGAAAGTTTGGTTGTATGTGTTAAAGGATAAAACTGAAACTTTTAAAAGGTTTAAGGAATGGCAAACTTTGATTCAAAACCAAACAGGGTATAAACTTAAGGTTTTAAGAACTGACAATGGCCTGGAGTTTCTTTCATAGCAGTTTGCTGAGTTTTGCAGGAACCGAGATATTAAAAAGAATAATACCTAATACACTTCAACAGAATGGTCTAGCTGAGAGGATGAACATAACTATTTTGGAAAGAGTAAGATGTATGCTTCTTAGAGCAGGAATGTCAAAGAGTTTTTGGGGAGAAGCTGTTATTACTGTAGTATACTTGATAAATAGGTGTCCCTCATCAGTATTTGGATCACTTGCTTATGCTTATATTAAGGAAGGAAAGCTAGAACCAAGAGCTGTCAAGTGCATTTTTCTTGGATATCCTGAAGGTTGAAGGGTTACAAGTTGTGAAGACTTGAAGCAAGAGGAGGAAGGTGCATTATAAGCAGAGATATCATATTTGATGAAACTAAAATGGGCATGTTGATGGAGGAACAACAAAAAAGTACTTCAAACAGGGAACATACTTAGTTTGAGGTGGAGTCTCTTACTTATGTTTCAGACTCAAAAGGAGAAAATTCTGAAGTTGCAGACCCAGAGATAGAACCAGCAAAAACATCTAGTTCTGGTGAGATGCGGCTGCAAACTTACATAATGATTCTGATTATCAGTTGGTTAGAGATAGAACTAAGAGGAATCATAAGCCACCAAACAGATTTGGATATGCAGATCTGATTTGTTATGCTTTAGTGTGGCAGAAGAAATTCAAAATCTAGAACCAATAACCTTTAAGGAAGCCATAAAGAGTTATGAATCACAACAATGAATGAAGGCTATACATGAAGAAATGGAATCTCTTATAAAGAATCAGACCTGGGAGGGAACTTGTAGACTTACCAAAAGATAAGAGAGTTGTGGGTTGTAAGTGGATCTTCAAGAGAAAAGAATGTATACCAGGAGTGGAGTCACCAAGATTCAAAGCAAGGCTTGTAGCAAAAGGTTTTACTCAAGTTGAAGGAGTGGATTACAATGAAATCTTTTCACCTGTTGTGAAACATTATTCTATTAGGATTTTGCTGAGTTTGGTGAATCAGTTGGACCTGGAATTGGAACAAATAGATATGAAAATAGCATTTTTACATGGAGAATTGGAGGAAACTATCTTTATGCAACAACCAGAAGGTTTTACAGCAGAATAGAATAAAGTTTATTTACTAAAGAAGTCTCTATATGGCCTAAAATAGAGTTCAAGGATATGGTACAAGAAGTTTGGTGCTTTTCTTATAAAGTATGGCTTCAACAGGTGTAGATATGATAGTTGTGTGTATGTGCTTAAGAGAAATGAGGAGTGTGTGATGTATTTACTGCTATATGTGGATGATATTCTGCTAGTAAGTCGTAGCATAAAGGAGATAAAGGTTTTCAAGGACAGACTTAGTTCTGAGTTTAAAATGAAGGACCTTGGACCAACTAGAAGGATCTTAGGCATGGACATTAATGAACCATCATTGATGGACGTTGCACATGACACAATTAAATCGAGTCAAGATCCGGCGCTAATAGAAGTAGCTTACTCTCTTAGTAGCGAAGGAAAAAGGCAGGGCTTTTTTCGTAGCAATAGTGGGCGGGTCTCATGAGATCTATGCTGACTGTCGGAATCAAATGAAGGGATCGAAGGACCATTCAATTCATTAAGGGGCATAGATCTAGGCCTCTTTGTTTGGTCAATCACCAAAAGCGGGGGGGGAACCAATATGGGCGAGACCCCTCGGCCTCGATTCTTTTGCATAGTCCGAGGGGAAGGAGTCTGAATAGAGAGGGCTTTAATAAAAAAAAATACTATTTATTATAATAACCTTCAGATCTAGTAACCCTCCGGATGTAGTCCTCGCTAGTTTTTTTTACGAATCGGGTTACCAAAGTTACGATCAGGAAGGCTGAAATCCAAATAAAAAAAGTACCTGGAGCACGTTGGTTCTAGTCCAGCTCATGACAAAACCAAAGGTCATAAATCTTTTGGCACCCCCCTTTCGTGCCTATCTCACTTGTTTACAGTTCTTATGGATCTTTTCGCTGCTTTCACATGATGCAATATTGGGGCCTCCTAGACCAGCTATCTCGCCCAAGCCTCATTGCATTCATATTCCAAGCACTAAGTATTCTCTGCCTGCTTAGATGCGTCAATCCGCCTATCGGTAGTCTTTTCCCCCGCATAGATAACTTAAAAAAAAGTTGTTCTTGGTAGGAGGGAACTAATACTTTAGATAAGGTTCATTGCTATTTGCTCTCCCATCACGCTAGCACTTAAGAGACTATCTTAGCCCAAAGTGAGAGATCACAATAAGGATTACCAAAAGTAGGCAGTATTGAGGTAAGGAACAGGACTGATGGAGAATTGTTTTTATCTCAGCAAAATTACCTAAAGAAAGTGGTTGAAAGATTTAGAATGCATCAATCTAAGTTTGTTCACACACCTTTGGGTTCTCTTACTAAACTTTCAATTTCTCAGGCTCCTAAAACTGAGAAAGAAAGGAATGAGTTGAAGTTCATCCCTTATGCAAGTGGTGTTGGCAGTATCATGTATTGAATGGTATGCAGCAGACCCGACTTAGCTTATGCTATTAATCTTATAAGCAAATTTATGGCAAATCCTAGTACAGCTCATTGGAATGCTCTTAAGTGGGTGCTTAGATATCTTAATGGTAAATTGGATTGTGGTTTGAGATTCAAGAGGAGTTGGGTTAGAAGTAATGCTATAACAAGGTACGTGGATGCAAATTTTGCAGACTATATTGATGCTAGAATATCTATTTCTGGTTACTTTGTTTGAGACAACAGTCACTTGGAAAGCAAATTTTCAATAAGTGGTAGCTTTATCAACTACTGAGGCTGAATATATTATTCTTACAGAAGAAGTAAAGGAAGGATTATGGTTAAGGGGCTTGATTGATGATCTAGGTATAAGTCAAGCCAGGATTAATATCTTTTGTGATAGCCAAAGTGCTATTCATTTGGCAAACCATCAAACTTACCATGAAAAGACTAAACATATTGATGCGAAGTTTCATTTCATTGGAGAAGTGATTGATTCAAAGGGGATTCAAGTGCTGAAAATTGCAACCGAAAAAAATCCTACAGATATGTTGACAAAGTCCCTTCCTAGAGTGAAGTTCAAGCATTGCTTGGACTTAATCAATTTCACAAGGTGATTGAAGATAAATAGGAGAGCAACTTAAGGAAACAAGTTATGTCTAGTGTTTTAGAGTCAAGGTAGAGATTTGTGATGATGTTATAATTCAAAAACATGTTAAAACAGGATAACAAACTTATTGTTAGAAACTGTTAGTGTCCAATTTAGTTAGGACTGTTAGTTCCTTTTATAAAGCTTGTTTCTAGTCTTCTTACAAGAGAGGCATTAGATGGATCTTTGTAATTAGTTCTTAATAAACTAGTGAATGAGATTTGGTTGCTCTTTCCTGTGAATGTAAGTCACATTGGTTGAAACACATTAAAGATTTGGTGCTTTTTTTCTTTTCCATATCCTTTTAAAGTTTTTTGTATTGTCTGCTTTCTGTTATTATTTCTGGTTTATTTTATGAGGACATGACTCTACAAGTTATAAATGCAATTTTGAGCTCGCACCACCAAAGGAAACATTTTTACTAAACATATCCAACAAGAAATTGATATACTCAAAGCGCTGGCCATATTCTACATCATGCTTAGCCATCATTTCTAGAGTACGCTTCAAATCAACTAACAAATCTTTTAAGCGTGTATTCTTAGCGATGATGAACAACAAAAGTAGCAATTTATAAGGAACAACTAATATAATGGTTCAATCATGAAGGAAACCAAGGTATTAGTGTGGTATTATCTTTGTTTAATAATGTATTTCTTTTAATGAAAAGGAAATATAATTATCCAATTGAACAAGACAACCATAACAATACAAAGAATTAACTCAATGACAGGAAAATGTTTTGACAAAGAAAAGGAGGCTTCACATAACTCTTGTCCTCACTCCTCACTATTTCCAACCTTACACAAAATCATGCAATTTAAAATTTGTTATTTTCACTCTTAACATTTTTCCTCATTTTTGTATAAACAACACATTGTTCCCCGTTAGTAAAGGGCATACAAAATATCCTTAGTCATTACTTTTCTTTGTTGTCCCTATTCCATTTTAAATTCTTAACAAAATTAAATTTTATAAAAAAAAATTTCATAGACTTTTTAGCTTATCATTTGTTCAATAAACAGTACTGAATAAATAACTAACGATTGTCAATAACGCAAAAGTATTGTTTATAATACAAAAAAAAAAAAGTTGTAAAATTAATATCACTCTTGACGTAGATAATACACATTGAACACATGGTCTAAAAGAAAAATAATCTTTTATATATTTTTATAAGTAGATTTTTAAAAATGTAAAAAAGCTAGAAATTTTAGACACATTTATTTTAAAGTTAAGTATAATTAATTTTAATAACATTATCTTTAAACCCTTAAATATTATTTTAAATTTAAAATCTATTTTAATTAGAACTCCTTTATTTAGAATACAAAAATAAAAATTTCAATCATGAACCAAGCATGTACTTTATTTCAATAATCTCAATTTCTCTTCATTTCAACAAAAAGAGAAAGGAAAATACCATGCAATTGAAGGCGCGCGGTAGCAAATTAGAGAGACAGAGGCTCTTACTCCTCCACTGTTCATTGTTTCGAATGCCCAGAAAATTTTCATGCGTGGATAAAATTGTATATCGTATTAATTGGTATTAACTACTAACATCTTAACAGTGCAGTCAGTCACCTCTTCAACTAGAACACATCAATTTTGGTCGCAATTCTGTGGCCTAAAGGTGAAAATAAATTTAATTTGTAAGGAATAGAAATACAACTTACTGTACGATATACACGTCTAAAATACAGTTAAACAACTCTGGTTAAGATTGATGTTAATACAAAATACAAACATCAAAACTAATTTCGCGCTATCAAAAATTCCTTAGAAATACTGACCCAATATTTAATTTCGTTTTAGCCTCTTTATTCTCTCAAGGGCACCAAGCCGATTTTCATTATCCTTGTCTTTTGCACCATCTACTTCGCCATTATTTTCATTTTCGTCTCTCTTTCTAATCAAACCACCAAAAACAGCAGAAGGAACATCTTTTTGTGCAATTTCAACCTTATCATCGTCATCATCAGAGTCACTTTCTTCTGGTAGCTCAATATCCTCATGATTTGCACTAGTTTTTAGCCCTCCATCAGACTCTGATTCCACTCCTGCACTCACAAACCCAACTTTTCTCTCTTTTGTCACTGTATTTTCAGCTGCTGGGGCTAATTGCCTTTCTAAAGCAGCCATTTCATCTTCAGGGATCCCAGCCTGTTTCAATTTGTCTTTGGCCTCGTCAAGATTCACAGTTTGATCCTTTTGCATCAAATACTCAGGCAGTATAAAATGTGTCTGGAAAGAAAAACATCAGAAGATCAGAATAAATGCCAAATATCAAGGTTACAGACTTGTAGGGAAATTGAAAATAAAAAGTTAAAGTTACCTGACTGTAGCTGGCAGAGACACTCCGCTTAATACGAAGCATTTCTCTGAAAGTATCTTCATTTCCATGCTGAACCTCAAACTCATGCCACTTATTCCAAAACTCTGGATCAGATCGTGGATCTGCAAACTGAGAGGCAAATACATATATTCCACGGGCCCGATCAATTTCTCCCAAGCTTTTTTCCAGCTCAGCATACTTCAAACACATAATTTTGACATCCTTGTCTGGAAGACCAGATTCAATTGCTTGCTCATAGATCTCCCGTGTTTTGGGTACACCAAATATCTCAGCTGCACGAGCAATATATATTTCATACATGCTTAACTTCTCATTGTTAGGAACGGCCTTTGTTGCTTGGTCATAAACCTTCATAGCTCGCTTGGCTAGTCCATAGTCCTCCTCCAGCTTAGCATATTGCAGATAAAGAGGTTTCACTTGATCAGCTGGGGCCTGTTTAGCAAGCATGACGCAAAACAAGGATTAAGTTTAGCAATGTAAAGCATTATCAGCATTCAAAAGTAATATTGACACATAAACACATTATCAGACAATAAAATACTTGTTCTGATCTTTAAACAAGAAGCATTTTCCATAAATCATAAATATAATAGAAGCTATTGGTAAAGGTTAATCCAGAGCATTTAAAAATTTGTAAATACAGTCATATTACAATACTTCAAGATGCACATGTTAGTATCACACAAAAAGGAATGCTTGACTTTCATTTACACCTGTCAAATTCTAGATCATCTTCCTTTATATCAATATACTCAGATTTTCTCTTGCACCATCCCCACCTCATACTGGCCCTTTGAAACTCATCTCACATTTCTTTCCATTCCCAAGAAGTGAAGAAAACTGCTTCCTTTCTTCTCTCCCAGCATCGTTTTGGGGCATTCTTACAGTAAAACTGACATTTACCTTGGTCACACCTAAAGGAAAAACCTACCCCCCCACCCCAACCAAAAAAAAAAAGACTCAGCAATGAATATGACACTCCTCTTCTCTCTGCCCGCCCACCTTCTTCAAAGACAACTGCATATCTGGCCATTTTCCAGCAAATGCAAATGAAGTGCAGCCTTCCCTTGTTAACACAGAACAGGTCACATCTTCTCTCCCAGTCTGACCACCAACTTCTTACTTGAATGTTTTGCTTAAGACTTTTATGACTTTATTGATAATTATGAATATGTCATGAATTTTGAGTATTTAGCATCATTATATATAGTATCCAACTATGCACTATCCCCCCATAGCATTTTTTAAGTTGGCTGCTTTGCACTGCTATCTACGATCAATAATAACCATGCCTACTAGTAGATTTGAAAATTTAAACTCTACTCAAAATGTTCATTTCATCTTCTAAAATCTGTCAATGATGCTGAGTCAGGGAAAATTTATCCTCTAAAGGCTCATTGACATTAAAATAGACCGAATTGTAGCACATCTGCATATATTAAACCTCTAGTAATGGACAGGAACTGACACTTCTTCCAGATCCAGGGGAAGGTAATTAAGTGAGTGATTCTGCGTTCTGCCACCTCATTCCATCTAATCCTTCAAATTTCAATCATTATTAAACATATGCTGGTTCCAATACAATCAACCACAAAAATCATATGACAACAACCCAAGCTTACCCCTCTAGCTAGGGCTGATACATTCATCAAAATGCACCATTGTGATCTATTAAAAACCAAATTTCAGAAGTCCAACCACAAAAATCATACAAGTACGAAAAATTCCACCAACAATTTTCATGAATGCAAAACTACATTGAATCATCCAATTTAATGTTTATCCAAGAAAAAAAACTAATATTTTATGGAGTCAACCTGAGTGGTGGGAATTACAACCAAACAAACGATGTAAATAAAAAACCTGAGCTCAAGCAGACAACCAATGATGGGTCATTTACAAAAACAGCATAGGAATAAAAATTGTCTAATTGACACACTTTAAACAGAATCTGCATATGGGCTCATCAATGTAAAACTTGTACAGAAAGGATACTTAAAGAACACTCAGAAATCAGCAAAAAAATAAGAAAAGTGTGCATACCGATTCAACTGCATTTTCAAATAGCTCCCTCGCTCTCTCCAATTTTGTCTTTCCATATCTCTTCACAAATTTAGATAGATATGTAACCCATATATCTTTAACGTGGGGATACTTAAATATCTTCACACCTCTTTCATAAACTTTAAAAGCATCTTCGAAGTATTTATGCTCCTGCATAGAACAATGTAATGATTTATCAATTGGCCAAAACCAGTAGAAGCAAAATCCAAAATAAAAACTGCACTAAAACACAACAATTGCTCCATACCTCAAGAAAATAAGCATAATTGATTATTATTTGTGGAGTGGCTATTCGTAAATCCAATATCCGCTCATAAACTGCCCGAGTAGACTCCAAAGTACCCAGGCTTTCCTCCAAATCAACATAAAAGCTCCACAATCTCAAAGACTTATGCAGCTTCATCTGAACTGGTTCATTTCCATCAGCGGCCACTAAAAATAAAGCATAATACAGATGTAGAAGTCAGTTCACTCTCCCCAACAACACAATAACAATAAAGAACTAAAGGTACAGCATATTGGGAAAAGAAAATGCAAACAAGGGGAAGTAAGAATACCTCTTCTCTTGACCTCAACTGATGGTTCTGCTGTAGCCCGCCTCATCAGCTCAAGTGCTCCTTTGAAATTATTATGCTTTAACTCAATTTCTGCCCACTCACACCAGACACTAGCCAGATTATCCACAGTTTTGTAGTTCACCTGCACTGCCTTATCAAATATGACACGAGCATTGGCAAGATCTTTGTGCTGCTCATACAGTTTAGCAAAAGCAACCCACAAAGTATGAGGCTTTCCTACTGCCTTCATGGGATCAATTGTCCTCACTGCTTCAGTGTAAGTCAATATCTGCTTCGTAGGATTACCTTCAAAAAGCTTCACCCTTCGGTGCCACTGTTCTACATTATGAGGATTTTGCCGCAACAGCACACTGTTAGCCAATTCTGGCCTCCTTTCCATAAGGTAATCAAATCGAGCCAATCTCAAGTCTATGTCATTCTTGTCATTCAACCAAAACCCACGTAAAATCTTCCTCTCAAAGTCCTCCTCCAACAATCTTCCTCTGAAACGAATATCTTCCTCCTCCTCCTCCTCCTCCGCAACCCCATTTTCTTCCCCATCGTCCTCCTCATCACTCAAGCCCATCTCCTCCATTTTATAAGCAAGCATACTCTCTTCAAATTGCGAGTAGGAATCAAACACAACACTAAAATCCCTAACAGTAATAACAGTGGACATTCCCTCTTCAAACACATCCCTCGCCTTCTCATGCAAACCCCTCCTAATGTAATACTCAGCAAGCGAAGTCCAAAGTCTACCCACCTCGTCAGTGAATTTCCTAATCCCACCCCTAATAATGGCATCCACATTCAACCCAGAAACCTCATTAGCATGCCGAGTGAGCAGATCACAGAGCTCTAACCACAACCTATGCTTGGTTTTACCCTTAATTGAAAAAAACTGATCATCATTCAGAACCGAAGCCAACCTCTCAGCACCCTCTTGCCATAGACTAGAATTAAGCAAAAACTCAATGAAATCTTCAATATGAGAAGGGTCGTATTTCAAGTACCTCCGATAAACACGAAGAGAAGTTTCAATGGGAATACCCTTCTGGCTAACGAAAATGAGATAGGGTTCCCAAATGCGATCGTGCTGGGTAACAGGGAGAGCGCAGAGAGCTCTATCGAAGGTTCTGCGAGTGCGAGTGACCAATTTTTGTTGCGTTAGGGTTTGGAGGTACATGATCCAAATTCGGGGCATTTTGTGCATTGTGACAAGGGCGCGTTCGAAGGTGTTGTTTAGTGTGTCGTAGTGAGAGTGAGTGACTGGGAGGTTGCGAACCAGGTCGAGGCGTTCGCGAAGGTAAGCGTGCCAAAGCTTGTAGCTTCCGGGAAGTGCTTTGAGGGCTCTTTCGTAGATGACGAAGCGCTTCTTGAACGGAGCTTCTGAACGAGCGATGAGGTAACGCCACCATAGTTTGAGGCTGAAAGGGTTTCGAAGAAGCTCTTCTTCGTAAAGGAGGTCATCTTCCGATGGGTATAGCTCCTGCGAAATCGCCATCTTCTATCTCTCTCTTTCTGTATCTCTGTAAAACCCTTAACCCTTGTTTGTATAACGGATTTACAATGGAGTCAATTGGGGATGATTCTTTTCTTTTTACTTGCTTTTTAATTCCATCAAATAACTTAAGTTATGTCTTTTTTTTTAAATTAATTTAAACAGCACCACTCTCTTTTTTCATTCCTATTTCTTTTATTATCCAAACAAGGCCAAACCCTCTATTGGATTTTGATCAGAGAATCAAGCAACACAGTCGAGAGAAAGAACTGGAAATTAAATTTCTAATTAGTGTCACAATCCGTGTTATGCAAAAATTTGTTTTGCTTATAATGAGTTTATAAGGGGAAATTGTAATATAATTTATAAAATATTTATGAAAAATATTAATAATATATATATATATATATATATATATATATTTGGAACACGCTTTTTTTTTATAACTGATCTCTTTTTAAAAAAGTTAAAAAATAATTATTATTAATTTTTGAGGTAACACTTTTATATTATAATATATATATATATATATATATAAGAAAACTAAAAAAAATCAATATAAAAAATAATAAAACTTATTTTATTAAATTAAAAATAATTTATACTTCTTTATTTTTTTAAATTCTAAAAAACTATTTAATTTAACTTTTCTGAAATTAAAAAAAAATTAGTTATTTTTCATTTCTGAAAGAAGTTTGAATTTTTTTTTTATATCAATTTTTTTAAAACATTTCTCTAGAAGTTCAATCAAATTGAGTTTAGATCAACTAAAAAAACTATATATATAACTCTATTGATATATAAATTACATCTTCATTGCCTCTTACTTGCTTAATCAATTCATCTCCTAGCTCAAAATGTCACTATGATGTCGTTTCTAAATTCTCCATTAAAATTGAATGTTATGGCAACTTGTGTAGCCAGTTTTATTGAGAGCCACTTGGTGAAAATTTTATTATAAAAGAAAACAAAATAATTGTAGTTGATAAATTCATTGGAGTTTGGATAAGATTGTTGGTGGTAGTGCTACCATAATTGATAGAGACAATGTTGCTAAGGTCGCAATGTCAATTTTGGGTCATTTGCTACAAAAAATACAACAATGAGTAATGACTTGTTCTAATATATGGTTTGTAATGCATAGTAAGATTGCAAAAGGTGAGACGCAATGGGCTTATGAAAGGGGTGCTTTGTTATTGGGATGTTGCAATTGGAAAAGAAAAAGTGCAATGATGGTAAAGAGGAACAAGCTGAAAATTTTACTTTCAATATTTTAAGAATTAATAAGTTAATAAATATTTAATAAACCCTTAAATATAAAATTAACTATAATACTCGTGAGAAAGACTATATATACCTTTCCCAACACTTTATATACCCTTCCAAACTAATCAGCAGCATAGATTTTACCATAAAATTATATATATATATATATATATATATATATATATATATATATATATATGTATATATATGTATATGTATATAAGTTCATTTTGTATTAAATTAAATATTTTAAAAATAAATCTAAACTGTAATTTAGTTTAACAAAAAAAAATATTTTAAATTTAATAGGTTTTCAATTGATTTTCCTTGAATTTTCTGGTCTATATTAATTAGGATCAGTTTATAAAGCGATCTTAATTCAAATTTTTACAAAATTAACTGGGCGGCAATCTACAAAAAAAAAAGATTAATGGGTCAACCCACAACGGATCCGAGACTGCAATGAGAGTCAGTCTCAAAATAAAGCCCATGAAACCCATCCTGTGGTGAATAAAAAGATAAATAAAAGTGATAGGAACAGAATAAGAAAGTATAATTTATTTAAATTTTAACAAGTAAATTGGGAAGAAAAGTAGTTTTCAACTGCTACACGGCGATGCCGTAAGCAGCAATAATAATATGATATGAACATTGCACACGCAACCTCTTTTCCTCTCTCTCTCTCTCTCTCTCTGTGGTCTTTGCAAATTGATTTGATTGAGTGCATCTAATCTAGATTCTAAATACTCCACTTCTGTTATGATTTTCATGCCTTGCTGCTTTTTTTTTTCTTTCCTATGATTATGCCCCTTCCCACGTTTTGAGAACAAAACCAAGGGAAACCCACAATGCCAATCCATGTACTCTTCACTGTACTGTGTTACTTGCGCTTTCCCTCACACAAAGATTGCATTTTTTCACATTTTCTTCTCTTGGGTCCTTAACCATGTTAGATCCATTTTCCTTGTCCCTGTGTTGTTCCTCTTATTCATAACCACTAACCACTGTCCTCACTTTCTTATTGTTTTGTTCTTCATCTTCAGGACCCTTCTATTTGCGCGTGTCCCATCCTCTTCTCCAATTCTCCACCCTCACAACAGAAAAGAAAAAGGTTAACAAAGCAGCGAGTGTTGAGATATGAAACGAGAACTGCAAGAGAGAAATGCGTGAACATGATTATTTTGCTGAGCTGTACGCCATTGTGATTGTGAAGGCCTATGTTGGATCTTGAGTTTTTAGTCTTCTCACTATTCCTTTGTGTCAGCTCTACCCACCAACGCTACTACAATGTTGAGTGGGGGTATGTTTGTAAATACATTTCTTCTCTGCTGCTCTTTTTCCTTTTTAATTTACAAAAGTTGTTTTGTTGGAGAGCAATTATCTAAATTATAGAGTATATTTTCAAGGGCTTTATAATCACAAATTATTATAGTTTTTTTGTTATGATCATTATTACTTTATAGCATGCAACTATGGTAAATATAGTTTTTTATGTTAATTATATAATAAATAAGTTAAAGTGTTTCTACTTTATTACAAATAGCTTTTAAAATGTCATATCCCATATTGTATTTATCCGTTCAGCACTGTGAGATTTATCTTGGATCATCATCTGAGGATACCGGATAAGAATTTGTATTTTCTCATATTAACAAGTAACAGGACAATATTATGTTACACACAAATAAAATTAATGGAGTCAAACGTAAATAATGATGGGTGCTAATATTCTTTTGAGTCTTCCGCTCACAATACCAAAAGTTACATGAGAGGATCCTCATTCTACTATGTATCAAGTACTTCTACCATTATCAGCAACGGCCAACGAGTTAAGAATATAAGTGGAGGGAAAAAAACTGATCCAGAAATGGAATCATTGAGAAAGTGTGTCAACTTGCTATTACAACGTTGTCATCGTCATGTTTGGAATGTTCTCTTGCTATTACAACTCTATGGGAATTCAAAAACTTGAGAATAACTTGGTTCTATGGCTTCTTGGCTTCAAAAAGGTCATCCTGCCTGAATAATTTCAGATACAGCACTTGAATGTTTCTGCATGTGAAATGTCAAAATCTGAAGGAAGTCATAAACCCCCCATTTTCCACTGCTCATGCATCATCCCCATATTATGCTCTCGGACATTTCATAATGCAAAATCTAAATCACACACAACGGGGTTGAAAAACTCTTCGATGTCCCGTTTCTTCAACGTAACAAGTGAGGTAAGAGTGATGTCAAGAGAGGAAATAGGAGCACAATAACAAGGACAATACCAAGAAGTATGGCATAACATGTCCACTTCCTCGAGCTCTTTTGATACTCTCTAGATTCATGAAGCTGTTCAGTGCCTCGTCTTACAAAAGAACTTGCATGTGCCACATGACTCTCTATGTTGTTGAGTTGTTGACCTTGAGCCTCTACAAGAGCTGCCATGTCCAAAAACACCTGATGCAGCTCCATCAAGTTTTTCTCTATTTCCTTAACAGCATCATGTCTTTCTTGGATTTCTGATATGGTGTCCATTATCTGACCCCTCCCTTGTTCTTGGATTGCCCTTTGAAGAAAACTCTCACTTTCTCCACTTGATATTAAGTTCTCTATGGTTTCTTCATCAGCCTTCTCTCCTGTGATAGTGAAATACCTGCGTTCCACTGTTTCCTTGTACTCATTTTGCATCCTTGCTCTCAACCCTTGAAAATCATCCATCATGTCCTTGAGTTTCTTCCCTAAGCCACTAACCACTGAGGTTCTTGTTCTATCTGCTGAAGAACCTGGACCGCACCCTGGAAGGTTTCTGTTATCTGCATTGGAACGCTCTAAGGCTTCAAGCTTACCCTTAATGATTTTAACACGTTTAAGGACCTGTTCAACATCTTTGTCCATTCTGGCTCTAAGATCTTTCATGGTTTTAGCATTGTGAACAATCTTGCTCTCTTCATTAGCCTCTTGCAATTTTCTATAGAGCTTCTCAACTAGTCTCATGTCTTCTTTTACATTCTCCACATCTTCAAAGAATTTATCAAGATTGACACTTTCCTTACCGGCCTCCACATCATCAAGGTGGGTTTGATCCCTCAAGTCACTGTATTTCTTGAAGGAGCTTGAGAATAGGTCGTTCATTTTTGCAGATTTGATGAAAGATGACTAACAATTTTTATTCCTTTTTTTTTTTAATCTCTTATCTTGTTAAGCAAAGATGGTTTGATCAAAAACAATGTTATGCTATGTGTTTTTTCTGCTGACCAAACTCTTGGGTTGCCTGTGTGCTCATCCTCTCATGGATTATGATCAATTTTACTAAGAGGGAGGAAACTGAAGGTGACAAAAGGCAAAAGCCACAAATCGTCACCAACAAAAGGCTCTGAGGGGAAAAGTACTTTTTGTTCTTGGGGTGGACGTATTAGAGGTCCATGGTGAATGTGAAATTGGGACCAGCCAAATTAATTAACATTATACTAATCAAAGAAGGGTGTTTAGATGTTGGATATACCAAAGGTTACTCCTATATTAACAAGTGGCAATGCTGTTTTTAATTGTACTATTAAAGGACTGGGTCATCTTTTTTTCTGTCCCCTCAGCCAATTTGGTATTTTTGTTTTAAGGGTATTTTTAAGCTCAAATTAAAATTTGCTCAAATAGAAGTTCCCATCTCATACTCCCTTTTTAAGTCAAATAGATATTTTCACAGAAAAATATTAGGCTGGATGAAGCCTGCAGGAAACTTGCTTTTTTAGGTATTCCATCCATGTATTTCTAATTATTTATTTTTAACAAAAAGTAATGTAAGTAGAATTAAACTTCAGACAGAGAACAGAGTCAATTTATGAATTTCGATAATTATTTTTTTAGTACTTTAGAAAATCATTTATGTACCTTCATATAAGGTAAAAAATAAATAAACATTCAAGGTTAATGAAAAGGTATTCTTATTAAGATATTTTTTTCAATTGTTATTCATGTGTTTCACACAATAAGTTATAATGTTACACATATATCGGTAGTGAAATCATTTTAAAATATTACTA